AAGATCACTATCCTGCATATTTCACAGAGCAGTCTGGTGTTAATATACCAAGTCATTTTATGAAGCTGGAGAGGAGCAGCAGTGATATACTGTTTCCTACAGGATTCTGGCGTGAAAGGGGGTTGAGAGATTCTTGGCTGCAGTGAAGCACCTGGAAGCTCGGATGCATTTATTGTCACTTCTTCAACCAAGTAAGAAGCTCACAAAAATTGGTTTTCTTAAAATGTTTCCTAGTTCCAGGTACTAGGCAAAGTTATCGCTCCCACATGTCCTGCTTTGCTTCTAATTCCTGCTTTTAGCATGAATTTACTCCTGGAAACAGTGAGATGAGTGCAAGTTTAAAAGGGAGGATGTAGCAGAGAGAGAACAGCCTTGGCAGGAGTTGTGTTTCTGAAATCATGTCTGCCAAAGAGCATTTTCTCTTATAAATTCATTAATTTGTAGGGGTTTCAGCTGACCTGAGGTATCCTGAGCTTGTTGTATAGCAGTTTCATGAACCAATGTGATTAGAACAGAAAAGTAGTTTGTGGATCTGAGTATGCTTTCATGTACATTCAAATATGTATGAATTAGGGAGAAGATAAAATTGGCGTGAGAATGAGACAAAGATTTTTTCAGTTATATTCAATTCTAAAGATTATAGTGTGAGAGCAGAAGAAAGGTACAAACCAGTAGAACAAATATGCTGCTTAGATATTGAATTGCTTTCCTCAAAGTTGAATAAATTATACATGTTTGGAAGAACCATAATGGAAAGACAGAGGTGCCAGCAGGATACGATTAAGTGGTGACTGTCAAGCAGAAGTGTGATATGGAAAGCCCCTATCTGTTGTGCGTGATTCCATTTGGATTACTCATGAGCAAAACAAGTCAAAACAGTCAGATTTCTCACGACTGCTGTTGAGGAGAACTTTGTTAGCACTCCTCTAGCTTTTTGAGTTCGCTTCCCTGAAATAATATTACATTTATAAACACGTCCATCTTAGCATATATTCTCTTTTCCCTTTGTTTTCTTCCATTTATTTTAGTGGCTTTTTTCATCTTTTTCTGTAATGAGCTGCAGCATGTTGTAGTTTATTATGTCTTATATTTACAGTGCCAATACATGTATGCCACATTCTCACACGAAAAGCCTCTCTCATATCTACAGAAATGATTAATTTCCAGGGAAATAAGTTAATGCTGTTCAGTCAAGGCAATTCTGCTCTGTATTTTAAAGTAGAAAGTCCATTATCTCAGGGACATCTGAAACTCACTTGTAATTACAAAGTTGTTGATCCTTTATACAGATAATGTAATTAAGTAATGCTGAAGCTTTAACAAAAAGAAATAATACTGTCTTTTTCACTCAAAACAGATGCTTAGTTGTAACAGAAATTTGACCCAGTGCAATGTATTTCTGACTGTTCTCACCATTGAGACTATTGTCAAGGGGCTTGGCTAAGGTGGCTTGTGGTAGGTAGGAACACTCCACTCCCAATAGGTTGGAGTCTCTGAAGAGATCAAACCACATACTGCAAAACATACTGAGGATTCACCCATAGAAAGGAATAGGAACATATATTTGTGTTTCCCAAGACTCGTTTAGGAATTTGTGCTTTCCCAGACTTCAGTAGTCTGTAATGGTTTTGGAGTACATACTTCCTGGGAATGGTTAGTTAATTTCTAAGATCAAGGCTAAATACAAAACTCTGAAATGTATGGCTGTGAAATATGCCAGAAAGTTGCAGTAGTGCCTGAAGTCGGTGCAGAAGCTGAAGCTGGCAGGAAAACCAGTGTTTGTTCTGTTTACTGGGACTCCACAAAGCTGTCACCTCATTTTGGAATGGCAACTAAGCATTCTTATGTCAAAGTTAAACTACCTCTTTTGCTACAATTTTTTTGTCTTCCCTTAGGACTTTAGGATATTCTGTCTTTTTTTTTTTTCCTGGTGCCATTTAAAGTTTTGTTTTGGTAACGATAGAAATATATTTTAATTCCCTTTTGAAATATGGATCTATGACCACGTCCTCAGAAATTCATATGTTCTAATTAATCAATTACCCATTCCGTTCAATATTAATTCACTTCATTGATAACTATTCCCAGTGATTTATTTATATTGTAGCATTTAGTTAGTAGCAAACTGCCATTTATTGTCACTTACATTATTTTTAGTAATTGTTCACCAATAAAGAGAAATGGATGGTGTCCATGAAGCATTTAGCCTTATCTGAAGTCTGTATCCCTAACACCGTTGCCAATAGCACAAAATTAGAGACACAATGCCTTAACAGGTAGCTCTTCCTTTCCGTGCATTCCCTTGATGCCTTTTTCCTTCCTGTAAGCTGTCATTCCTGATTTTGTTCTGTAAAAGCACAAGAATGTTTCCCTCTTAATGACTATTTAAATAACTGACTTACCTTGCTATTGTACTTGGTTCTTTCTGTCACAGAAAATGACTATGAATTAATTAGCATTAGAGCACTGGAAATTCCTATGAATTTTATCTGGAACATTCTGTGCGCATTAATGAATGATTTTACACCTCCTAATGCAAATCTGATGATATCTCTACAAACCGCTGGGGGAGTGTGTGAGGTCATTAAAGTTAGATTTGCAATGGAAATATATGGGTTTTTCTCTCATGTCATTCTTCCCTGTGCTGATAATGCTATTTTTGAGCATTTGCTCAGACTGGCTCATTTGTATTGAAAGATTCTCTTATCCTTTGTCCTATTTTCCACTTTTTCCTTTTTTTTTTTTATTTTTTTTCATAAGGGAAATGAACTATGCTTTTTTCAGGAGCAGTTAAAACATTCCTGCAGGAACACGAGGAGCTACATTTTGAGCTGTTAAGTGTCATCTCCAGAGATTACGGTCACTGAAAGGCAGCCCGGCGTGAAGAGCAAATATGCATGTCAGAAATGAAAATACCAATTTATAACATGTCTCCTTCCTGTCTTACTGGCTGATCATTTATTCTGTGCATGAAGAAGTAATGTTAGTGTTCTGACACCCAGGCATCTAAGTAAGAGGTGTATAAGAAGAATGATGATGTTTTATTCAAAAATTTTCCCCAGGATCCTAAGTCTGCTCTATATTTCTGCTTCTTGTTTATTTTATCTTCCTTTTTTAAAAAGGGCTTTTTAAATTCATGGGTTCGTCAGAGCTCACAATGTAATTTGCTCCTTGCCCGTGATGTAGGAGAAACATTGGCAAAAACAATCCGTTCTGAAAGCAATGAAGCCCTGCATACTACTGAAGAGAAAAATCTTAGTGTGTTAAGCTTAAATAGAATGAGGTGTTATTTCCATAACCTACATCTTTCTGTTTTAACATAAACTTTTTTCTTTTTTTTCCTAAAAAGAAATGGTGACGTGTGCTTTGGCTTAGATTTACCACTGTGTGTTTAGAAAATATACTTAGAATTTGTATTTAAATAATCTATTCTTGATGGTTTGGTGCTAAAGAAAGCTGTTGTATATTGTTTATGCATTCAGATCTGAAGTTTGTTGAAAAGATTAAACAGCGTTTGACAGCAGACAAAGGAAATGTTTTCTTCCTTTTAGCTTCATTTTCTTCAATAACTTGCTCAAAGTTAAGCAACTGTTTAGACATTGAACAAGCTGAAATTTTATTATCTTCTTGTGGTCTACAACTCTATTCATTACCTGCATGTAAAATTTGCTCAGCTGATCAGTTTTAAGTATGAAATGTTTGATATATTTTTCCTGTGCAGGGTTTCTGCCTTTCTGTTGAATTCCCATTTCCATCCAAACAAAGCAGCTTGATACAAGTCATAAGTAAATAAAAATTAATCATCTAGCAAAGAAAAATTATAATGTATTTCTAGCAGAATGCTCTGTAAGTGTTAAAATATTCAAATAAATATTTTAAACTATATCACTGCTTAAATGGGGAATGTAAGATATCTGTCTGGTAGTGAATGGAAGTAACAGATGAATTTAAAAATGAGATTCAATTGCAAAGCAAGTTTTTTATGTTTAGCTTCCAAGAGCAGTCAAATTCATTTTAAATAAAATGAATAATACACCCTCAAAATAAGTATGGAAAAGTTTTTGTGAAAATAGCTTTTACTGTTTTTACATTTTTGAGTGAAAGAGAATTATTTTCACAAAAATAATCTCATGAGAAATGATTTTGTATTGCACTCTTTAATGAAAAATATTTGATATGTACTTCAGAAATGCTATCATTTGGGGCCTTCTACATAGGAAATTCTGTGGTATATGGGATATGTATAAGGCTCCATGAAAATGTATTCATAGCTGTCAATTGACTTTATCTACACTCTGAATTTTTAATTCCATAGAAAATTCCAGCATTTCTAAAATTAAACCTCTAGTTGCAATAAAATGAAGTTTTGATATTTTCCAACTATTATTCTGTTAAAATGTGATGGGATTATCAAAATGGGTGTCCTTTTTTTCCCCCAGCAAGAGTAAGGCAGTTAAATTTTGGTATGCCAGGAGTATAATTTCATTTAGAAATGGGGACATAGTCTCACATTTTTATTGATTTAGTAAACTGCATGTGAGAATGTAATTTGAAAGCCATTAGTAATTAGTTAGAAAGGCTTGTTTGCTTTACACTGAACTTCTTGAATGACTTATCAAAATCAGAAAAATCATACTCTTTAATACGATAACCAGAGCAGATCCTGCTAAATCACACAGATGGCAGAGACACCTATTCCTGAATTCCTTTAGGCTGCGAATGGCTGAATTGATTTCAAACATAAAGCTGCCAAATGAGTGCCTCAGAATGTGGTTTATTAGCCACTCTTTTTCTTGTGTATCTAACGTACAGTGTGCTTGTACTGGCAGCAAAATCTCAGCTATAAGGTCTGTTTCTCCTTACTGACTGAGCTAAAGGTGAAGAAAGAGATCTTACTATCCAAATGGAGGAGTGCATTTACAGCAGCAAGGATCTCACCGGTTTCAACGAAGTACTGATATCCCAATTATGCCCTAACTTCATCTCCTGTTTTCTCCTAGGTCTTACTGCTGCAGCATCTCTCGTATCTCTAGCTTGGGCTCTGGCTTCCTACCAGAAGGCCCTCCGTGACTCCCGTGATGACAAGAAACCCATCAGTTATATGGCTGTTATAATCCAATTTTGCTGGCATTTCTTCACCATTGCAGCAAGGGTCATTACTTTTGCTCTCTTTGCCTCGGTTTTCCAGCTGTACTTTGGGATCTTCATCGTGCTCCACTGGTGCATCATGACCTTCTGGATCGTCCACTGCGAGACAGAGTTTTGCATCACCAAATGGGAGGAGATAGTTTTTGACATGGTTGTTGGAATTATCTATATCTTCAGCTGGTTTAACGTCAAGGAAGGAAGGACACGCTGTAGGCTTTTCATTTACTATTTTGTGATCCTTTTGGAAAACACCGCCTTGAGTGCTCTCTGGTATCTCTACAAGGCCCCACCAATCTCCGATGCATTTGCCATACCAGCACTGTGTGTGGTGTTCAGCAGCTTTCTGACAGGCATTGTTTTTATGCTGATGTACTATGCCTTCTTTCATCCCAACGGACCAAGGTTTGGGCAGTCGCCAAGCTGTGCTTGTGAGGACCCTGCAGCTGCCTTTACCCTACCCACGGAAGTGGCAACAAACACCCTTCGGTCCATCTCCAACAACCGGAGTGTGACGAGTGAGCGGGATCAAAAATTCGCAGAGAGGGATGGGTGTGTGCCTGTGTTCCAGGTGAGGCCCACTGCTCCATCCACACCTTCATCCCGCCCACCCCGGATCGAGGAGTCGGTCATTAAGATCGATCTGTTCAGGAACAGGTACCCAGCCTGGGAGAGACATGTGTTGGACAGGAGCCTGAGGAAGGCAATCCTAGCATTTGAATGTTCCCCTGCTCCTCCACGGCTACAGTACAAAGATGATGCCCTCATCCAGGAGCGTTTGGAATACGAAACCACATTATAGACAAAGCAAAAACGCAGCTTGGAGAAGCTCTGCCATTACAGTCCAAGTTAAGGATTGATGGGAGGGCTGTAGGAATAACAAACTGTGTACTACCATTAGGACAACAAGCTGTAGTGTTCTTAGTCTGGCTACCATCATGATTATCATTTGATCCACTGTGTGCAGTCCATCTGCAGGACACTGGTGCAGCAACATCACCTGAAATCCTCAAAAAATAAGCAAAAAGCCTACAACCAACCCACACATACTGATCAGTTCCTGGGAAAACTCACCCATGACTCCTTGCTGCTATGAAACTCGGACTGCATGGTACTCACAAGCAAACCAACAGGGGGGCTCTGATCAGAGCTTTCAACTTTAGCCAGTAGTGCATTTTATTTTAGAAATGAATGATTGATATTTGCATAATCAATGGCAAAAGCAAGCAAAGAGAAATCCTCTCAAAAATAACAAAACTGTAGCACACAATGTTGCCATTATTAAAACTGGTTTCTAGGGGAAAATAGGAGCATAGTAGTATTTGACACCCCATAAATAGATCATTCAGGTTAGACAGGTTTGCAAAATAGTTCTTAATTAAAAAGAGAAATCATCATGTTAGCAAGGTTATAAATGGAAAATAACTGATTATATAGCTCACAAACATTGACACCGCCAGAACTGTTTGTTTTCTGTGGAATTTCAAAGTCTTTTTAATTGCAATTTAAGTCCTTTATGTTGCTTTCAACAGAAATCCTATGCAGCTCACTTCTGGTTTTCAGGAGAAATAAGGAGCTCCAGCACGTAGTGATGTAAATTAAATGATAATCATGATTCAATGTTCAATTTGCAAAAAATATATATATATGTATGTAAAAGAACAGGGAAGTATAGTTTTCATATTCTAAAGTTTTTTGGAGGACCCCATTCAGATGTTTCAGAAGGAACTACAAGGAGATGAACGCTGAAACTTCTCTGTTTCAGAACTGGGAATGCATGATTCAGTGTGAATGTATGCAGGGGTGACAAGAGACTGTGACATGCCATACCCTTCTAGTGCCAAACATTGTGTAACCGCAAGATTGATGTTGCCCAAGGGACAGATCACAAGTGGCATGAATCCTACGAGACCAAGAAGCAGGAAAGACCAATCCAGTTCTCAACGTGTCGAGACAGCTCTGATTTTTCCCACCCAAGGTGAAAGTGATGTCTTTTTAAAGACTTTCAGCCACCTCTGAGTAAGTATGTTCAGTGAAGTGTGACATAACCAAGCTATGTGGAAGCCCTCTTCTGCCTGTTCAGGACTTGTTCCAGATATATCTAAAAATTACGCTGTAATACAGAGTGCTTTAGCTACAAGCTTTTGGGTTTGAAATACTTCCCTAAATCTAGTCAACAGTATCCTTCTTTATGTTAAAAGTATCCCCTGATGGTGCTTTCAGATGCATTAAAGGTGCAAGTCAAAATTTGATAGTATTTTTTTTAAAGCTGGTGCAGAGTGAAAAACTCATGAATTATTTCAATATTTTTGTAAAGTAAAAATATGGTATAAAAAGGTTACTTTTTATAAACCTCAAATCTTTTAATACATTTCATTCTCTTTATAGCTTAGATTTTAAGAATTGGTCCATGAATTTTATCAGCTAGATTCTGCAGGTTGATACAAACCTGGTTTTCACACATTATGGGTTTGTTTTTGCAGTGTAATGCAATATGAAAGCCTACGTGGGTACTTTTAGAATACACCATAAACTGCGGATCCTGCTTCAAGTGTAAGTGGTTTGTAATGAGACCAAGCGATTCTATAAGAAGCAATTTGCTAAAACTATTTCCATCCGTTCTAGGAGAGTGAAGCAGAACTGAAGTGTTACTTTTTTAAATGGCATTGTCAGGGTGGAGAAGACCTGATGATTGGTATTTTAATCTTCATGTCAGGTATATTCAGTGTAGTCACTGCTGTATATGCTGCTGGGTAAATTTCAGTCTTTCCTGTTATTAATATTTGTAGTACGAAATGGCAGAGGTTACATGCCTTTGTTTGTTTGTATGCATTCAATTAGCCATTTTTAATGTTGACTTTTTTATTAGAGAAATGCTCAGTATCTGTTGATCTTTGCTGGGGCTAGTTCCTCACAACAAAATATCTATCTGTGGAAGTGCAGGAACCTGCAAGTCAAAAGGAATTTTGCACAGATCAGGAAACACCCATGCTTGAAGGTTTCTTAGGTATTTTCAAATTAAGCAGTGGCCAGCTGCCTCGATAATTGTTTTTAAATAAAAATGTTCTTTGATAGTCCAAACCCAAAGCTTTGTGCAAAGTGATTGCCCTTCCCTCCATGCAGACATAGATGACTATAAAGAAGATCTCTCACGTTATGTCAAAAAATACACCGCTGTAAAAACTGCTAAAAGAAATCTGGGGACAAAACCTTTTGTCTGGATGAATCCAATAGAGCCTTCGCTCCAGAATCCAACGTTTGGTATCAAAAGGAAATTTGCCTTTACAAACAAGCGTAAGCTTTGTAATCCAAGATGTGAGGATTTCTTTCTGAAACCGTTCCGTATGTTTGGTGCTTCTTTGGTAACTCAGAAACAGTGTGAGCGGGGCACAGCAGGCAGTGCTCTCCGACCGCATGGGCTCTCCTGGAGAGAAGGACAACATCCCAGGTATCAGCAGTCCTGGCCCTCTTTTGATGGCCTTCTCATGGCAAGTTGCTATTCCTCAGAGCTGTGAGCCCTTTGGTAAGGGCTGACAGCACTGAAGAAAGTGCAGATTGCAAAGGGTTATGGATAGAACCAGTGCTTGCATTGCAAGGTTTCTGAAGAAGGCGAGCAGTGGGTATGTTTGATTTTCTCTCTGGTTTTGGAAGAAAGGATACAGAGATTTCATTTTTTTCCATTGTTAGTATCTACCAGTTAATGTGCTTACCCTCCCATCATTTTTAGTATTTTTTAGTAGAGCTTGTAAATTCACTTCAAGCAAACTATTGCAGGTTCTGAGTGCACAGTGCCATACTTGACATTACATACACACAGAGCAGTATGCGTACTCCACTGCCTTCTGAATTCAGGCTGGGTGTTTCTGGAATAAGAAGTCATTTTATTCTGAGTGAAAATCTGCTCTCCACAGCCCTGCTCTGTTATGTTTGTAATGTCAGTGACATTTGCGCTGAGAACAGAACGGCCATTGAAACCTTAACTCTCAGATGACTACATGGACAGTTTTGTTAGTCTGCTTTGCTGTGAACAGTCACCATAAAAGCTGTTAGAATTTTTTTATACAACTTGTCAAAATTAAATATGGTCCACATTTAAATCCCATGATGGCCTTATGGACAGTTAATAATCAATATGCACTATTCTTTTTAATGCAAACTGTTTTAAGGTCTATCAATAAAGATCAACGAAGACAGCAATAGCAAAAAAAATCTTCTGCTTTTGAAATAAGAAAAAAATCAGGTCTTTTAAATTCCATTGCAGAATAACAGGAAATTAAAATGTTCATAATTACATTCTGATGAAGAAAGTAGTCACATCTCTGTTAGAAGGAAGAGTAATGTAAGCATTGTCCTAATGAACCAAACAAATTTGCCAGCAAATTTCAAGGTAACTTATCTTGGTCCTAAAATTTTGAGAGCTGTGGATTTGTGTGCTACAGAAAAGGTAATTCACTGCTCTAAAGGAAAAGAAAGCATACCCATGTTCATTCAAAAAACAGTCAGAAAATGTAAGATAAACTGTTTGTCTTATATTAAAAGAAGTGTTATTTACTCTATAGTAAGATAGTCTTATAATAATATTTGAAAAAATGTGCAATACTTTTTTTTAATGCAGTTTTAATGATGATAAAAATATTTTCCACTTCTCTTTGTGTCAGCTAAAATACGCTTCTTGTGTTAGAACAGTGTTTCTGTGCTTGGGTTATTTGGGCTTGGTGGCATATAAATACTATTTTCATTGGCAAATTAACAAATTTTGTATTAATTAATTTATGTAGCATTGAGATTATGGAAAATATTCCTTCCAAACATAACTGCTAGACTTCAGAGGTCTGATTTTGTAAACTTTTAAGCAGAGGAAGAAAATCTAAAAATTTTTGGAGTTGCAGTTTTTAATACATGGTGAAAATCTAATCAACCCATTTTTTAAAAGATGTATGGTAATCTCATCAATATACCATGATCTACCCAAAAGAGCAATTCATGAGTGGTAATAAAAGCATGACTGGTGCTATTTTTGGAAAGGGACTCCCAGTCTACCTAAAAGCCAACATTTTCATTTACTTTTGATTGGCCTGCAAGTATTCACAGCTAGCCTGTTGTATAACCCTTCATCTAGCAATTAGAATTATTTCTGATTTGAACATCCAATTCCATAAAAGCCTTAAAAATGGCACCGTTCTCAGTTTTAGTTAACTCTGCCAGTGATCCAGCTCCCAAAGCCACCGTCCTTTCTCTGTTCAGCCCATAACATCACACAGCCCAGAGCAGCTGAGATGCTGTGGTTTGCTCTGCACCCCCTGCACTGCCTGCATAATGCCAAGGAAAAGCCCTCAGCGGAGTACTGGGGTCCTATTGCTGCCTCTCTTGCTCCTGTGCGTGGTGGGAAGTGGAGTGAATCACATTTGTGCATCCAGCTGAAAAGGCTTTTTTTTTAGGTTGAGTTCATACGAGGGTGCGTAGAGAAAATAATCACAACACGTGTCCCCAGATTTACAAGCTCAACACTAATTACTAGTTCTGCAGCATAACATTGCCGAATGTGGGAAGAATTGTCTAAATAAACAATAAGCCATTTAATTTTGCTAATTGTAGCAATTAGGCTAGCTCTCCTGAAGCCCATGCTCTCAGCAGAAAGCCAAATGGAGTAGTGGCACACAGCCATTTATATGGCAGGGATATTACGCTGTGAAGCCCTCCGTTGACTGTTTCTGGAGCTAGGTCTTTCCATTACAGCATTGAATCCATTCCTCTTCATTCTGATAAAACAGATAAAGTGCAAAATAATTACAGATAGTTTAA